AATGACAGAAGGAAAAGGACACTAGGCTTTCACAAAGGAAGAAGAAAAACTAGGCAAATAGAGGAAGGAAGGAAGGAAGGAAGGAAGGAAGGAAGGAAGGAAGGAAGGAAGGAAGGAAGGAAGGAAGGAAGGAAGGAAGGAGAAAATTGATGCTACAAGAGATTAAATAAAAGGAATGTAGGAAGGGAGGAAACAAGGAAGGGTATTAGGAAATAAAATAGGAAGGAGACACTAAGCATGGAAATTAAGAGGGACAAAGGGACACCAGGAGGAAATTCTCTCTCTTTCCTCCTTCTTATGCAGACCAGGTAAGACTTTTGAGGCAGAGCTTATTTTCACCGTCTCATACCGGTCTGTTCACCATTGGACCCAAATCGTGTAGAATAAACCTCCACTGAATCTCAGAAGGACATCCTGCTCCTCCCTGCATATCTCTACACAAAACTCACCTGTTCAGACTAGCAAACCACACTTAAGCTCCAAACACGTCACAACGCAAACAGTCATCACTATTTTATTTTCGTCTGTTCGTCGTACTTTAAACCTTTGTTCACATTATGTCATTGACATAAAGTGGCTTTCAGAGTCAGAGAGTTAAAAAACGATTATAGTTACTTTAAAGTCGGAAGGACAATAATTAACAGCCAAAAATAAATGATATAAATAGATTGAGGCTTTGATTCTGAGTCAGAAGTGAAGGACAGAATGAGGGCGTTGCTTTACATCGCCATCAGCTGATATGAAAATATACGTGTTCGGTTGCCATAACAAAACCAAAACAAAACAAATACTCTGCCTGAAATCATTAAACAACAGAAATCCTTATTGCCAGCAGGCAAACAGTAAACAAACCACAGTTTCACTCGACATACTGTAAAACATTTAATAAGGGAGGGACAGATCTCTAGCATTATATCATGTCATTACTTTAATTAGACTGCTAATGAAATATTTACTGTTCAAAGGTGAAGCTGGAGCAGCTAGAACCTAAACATAGAGTCCAAAGAGAAACTCTGGCTTCAGTCCAGGTTAATCGAATCCATTTTAAGAGGCGAAAATGTTTAATAAAGGGACCAAATCTTCACAGCACCTCTCCAGTCAACATACATATAAAAAGAATAAAACAGAAGACGAAGGTGAACAGCAATCGGGATATGGGTTGCTTTCAGTCTAATTCGTTTTTTAAAGCAGGATTTGAACTCACAACCTTCCAACTGCAAATTCACTGCATGTCGGACAGTTTATAATCTAAGTATCAACTCAACAAAACGTGTTGGAGCCACCATTTTAAAATAAAGTAAAACATAAAACACTCGCATAAAGACGATGGATGCATTTTTCTCAGAAGGGTTTTTGTTGATATTTGTGAAAAAAGGAGACAAATAAAGCACAGAGTTCCCAACCTAATGAGAAAAACAGATACAAAATATAAATGATATATACTGGTACTTTAAGAGTCAACCTTTATTTGAATTTAAAAGGAAATGTTTAATTAAAAAAACAGATAAAACCTGAGAAGACTGAGAGATATGGAGAACGTCTCTGTCTGCTAAAGCACGGCAGTGATGTGTAGTTCTACGGGTTTCTGCTGCAGTTTTCAAACAGTTAGCTTTATTAAGTTTATTTCTTTCAAGCTTTTCTTGCCATTAAACGGTCACAAGTACAGAGCAACGAAATGAACTCTCTGCATTTAAGCCATCCTCTTTGGGATGGAGTGGGCTGCCATTGTGCGGCGCCCTGAGTTAGCAGTTTAAGGGTGTTGCTCAGAGACCCAGAGTGGCAGTCTGTGGGAGTGGGAGTTGAACTCAGAACCTAAGGATTCCTTTAAGCCCTAACCACTAGGCTGCCAATCCCCTTTAGAGACTTGTAATGAATATATATATCAGATATTGATCATAAACTGGTGAGCGAAAGAAACAAATATATCAGATTACATCAACCTGCATCTAAAATCAGCAATAAAAACAGGCTGATAAAAGCAATCCCCTCCAGCCATGACGGCTGCTTTGCATAGGAACCATGGGGACGTGTCTCTACTAATGAGACGACGTGACTTGTCAGTGACATGTTTATAATTTACAATACAACATTGTTGCTGCGGTCGCTTCTTTCGCTCTCACAGCTTTGCTGCCTGGCGGCGCCTGCTTCGTCTGACCGCCTGCTTGCCAGGCGGTACAGTGCTGTTTGCTTGTTTGCAGTTCAGAAGCTGATTGTCAGAATGTTTTAGATAAAATGAAATACGCTTTAAACAGTATTTAAAATCCCAGTTGGAATTGGAAATTAAGTTCAAGGTAATTTTTTATTTTTTTTGGTTGCCGTTTTCTACACTTTAGATCAGAGGTCACGGACCAGGATCCGGATTTGGATCCACATGCTGTCTAATCTGGATCCAACCTGATTTAAAACATTTACAAATTACTGCATGTCTAATTTGCACTTGCACCACTTCTCCTGTTATTACGGTAAAGCCATCCGCAGCGTCCAGAACCAGGCTACACGTGATGTGTGGACTGCTGGAAGAACTGTGGTGAACTGGTGAAAGAAAAGTGAAATGGTGCTCAAAGATGATCCTGCACATTTAGAGGATGTTTGGCTCAACCTGCTGCTGTGAAGCAGGATTCTCCACCACGAACAGAATCAACAATAAACATGGATGCAGGATCAAAATGAGCTCCTTGATATGTGCTTTAGAATGGCTTAGTCTCCATTCAAACCAGGTTTAAAGCCTTGCAGGGCAGCATAAAGCCCACTGCCAACATTAGGACAGAAAATAGAAATAAAGAAATAACAAGCGGTCAATTTAGGTGTTTTATTAAAAAAAGTGAATCAGGAAATTGTTTATATACACAATTGAAAGATTGTTGTTCTCTACTTCAAAAACAATTTAGATTTTAAAATGGAAAAACGTTCTATTTTTTATATTCTTCATTTAAAAATGAAATGTCTAACATAGATGCATAAACACCTGCATTTTATTTCAGTGTTAAATTCTGTTTAAATTAACAGATCAGAATTTAAAATGTCTCTGGACCTTTAGTGGTTGATGATTTTCTTTATTCGGATCTTGCTGATTTTTAACTGGTTACCCATGCCTTAAATGTTTGATATAAGAAAAATGTTTAAAATGTTAAGATAAATGACATAAAGTGGTACCTACAGCCCTACTGTACATTTATTGTTAATATTTTAAATGCTAGTACACTTTTATTTCCAGGGCATATGTACATAAATGCCACCCATTTATATCTAGTATGTTTTACTGTGCCATTTTGTGATATTGAGAGAGTTTGTTAGGTTAAAAAAGTTGGTGTTTACCTCTGTGTGTTTCTATAGCTTTAAAAGAAAGTACAGGATAAATCCACGGACATATTTTGACTGTATTTGGTTAAATAAGCATGTATTTAGCATCTGTCTGTCGCTGTAAGTTCAAATGCAAACCTTTTCCAAGTGAAAAAAAAGACCAGATTTGACATTCAGATGCTTTAAACATTGGCCAACAGCATCTAGTCTGTGTAACTCTATACATTTTTTATAAATGAAGCAAGAAATGCTGATTTCTCTTTAGACCAGAGGAAATTCAGCCTAAAGCTGAGTCAAGCATCTAATCCATGTAGGATGTGTGATGTCAGACCAATGAAGCTTAGGACCAACAGTGTCCCGATCAAAGCTGAAATCAAAGTATTATTAAAATACTTTAGAGTATTTTGTTGTTTTATTGTTTATCTTTTAACTATTATGTTATTCTTATACATTTTTCTAAGGTCCATATTTGTGTGACCATTTTTTTCTATAATCTTTTTGCTGCTGTAAACAGCAGAGTTTCCCCATTCTGGCACAATAAATTGATTTTCTATTTTCTATTCTATTCTATATTTTATGTAAAAGCATAAAGTTTATGTAAGTCATTGGCTGATAATAAATGGGTCAGTTGTTCTCATAGTTTTGTTGACTTTTCTTTTGAATAATAACAGTTGATTAAGCCCTTTTTTTTTTAACATTTCCACTAAAGTATCCGTAATAAAAGTCTGATGATTAATGTTGATATCGGATCACATCCACTGCGGTATCAATCAGAACTCAGAGCTGTAATATCAGTATCGTATTGGAAATTAAAGTTTGCTTTTAGAAATGACGTCGATTTTCAAGCACAGCCGTGTTAATTTCGGTTCTACACTGAGATGTTGGCTTTTATTCTTTTATCATTTCAACTATTTTATTATATTGTAATTAAGGCTGAAACAATTAATGGTATTAGTTGTGATAAATGAATTACTGAAATAATTATCTACTAATTAAATAATCGATTAGTCGTTAAACACGAGTATAGAGACTCTGAAACATGCATTTAGCTGACAGATCAACTCACTAAGAGCAGTTATAACAAATCTGAAAAAAAAAAAAAGTTACAATTTTGCATTTAAGATTAAAAAAATATATTTTTTGTTTGTCAAAATGTTCCTTAAGTGGAAAAGTTTTAGTTTCCACAGGTTAAATTTCGTAAAAAAGTCTATTCAGGAACCTTTGGCCATCCGATTATTAATCGATTAATAAAAAATATAATGGACAGATTACATGATTTGCTAAATTATGGTTAGTTGCAGCCCTATTTGTAATATTGGGTCATAGATTTGTTGAATTTATGTTTGCTAGAGCTGCTGCGTGTATTTGGGGGGTTTATCGTCTGTTATCATGGTTCAACACTTTGCTCGATGACGGTGTTTTCTAAGTGCTTCATAAATAAGGTTGCATTGTGTCATACTCAGCTTAGTGGTTCTGAAGCGTTCTATTATTCCTCTGGCTGCTGAAAGTTTCGGCCAGTGGTGATTAATGCTCACATGCATGGCTTGAATATGTTCTCTAATTTTTCCCATTTTGATAAAAAAAAAAACAGGAAGTCAGCTGGAAATATAAATGTTCTGCACTCTAAGATAAAATGCATCAGTTACATTTTCTCCTTCTGATGATACATTTTAAAATCAGTCACTTAAAAGCATTTTCTGTCCATAGTGGCTTTTAGTTGCCTAAACAGAAACACCACTTTATCCGCCAACAAAGCGTAGTGAAAACCTCAGAGCAACCCGCTGCCTTCCCATGGCTGCACTAAAGAAAGACCTCCCATCTGCTGGGCGGCAGCCTGAATGTGTGTTAAAGTTCAGCAGTCGGTCGTAAAGAAGGGGGCAGCTCGAGTTCAGAGCGAACAAACACCTTCCTTTTACTGAATTAGCTGAGGATGATGTCAGATATAAATAATGATTCATCTGATTAACTTTTTCAGCTCCAACATCAAAGATAAAACTATATTTCAGCTCATTGCACGGTAATAAAAGACAAAAGAGGAAGCTGCAGGGAGTCAACTAGAGGTAGAAATTAAATCCTAATGTATCAGGTGAAGGTGAACTTAGTTGAAGGGAGATTTACAAAATAAAGATCCCTGATATTCTGGACTTTCAGTTTCAGAAACGTCAATATTTATCAGGAATCTTGGCTCCAAATCGAGTCAAACCAGAGTTAAGCCTATGAGTATAGAAGAAGCTGAAGGGGACAACCAAGCAAACTCCCCTCAACTTTTAGAGAAATTAAACAATAAAAAACAGTCCCATGTCAAGAATCAGGATTAAGGTCATGAAAGCACAGTTAGAAACAGACAGACCTAGTATGACTTCCTGCTGACAGTAGATGGTGGCCCCTCACCCAAAGCATTGCGTTTGAAGAAAAAAACAAAGCATCGGCAGCAGAAACAGCTCATAGCAACAGTTAGGAACGGCGGTGGAGGAGTGATGGTACGGGCTGACCCGTCACTCCTCTGCTTACAAAAGAATTCCAGTGAAAAAAGGGAGACCATCTAGGGGACATCTTAGTCTTCTTCTTCAAAGAGTGAAGAAGAAGAAACTGATCAAGTCAGACAGATAACAGCCGCCAATAAGTCCTCCATTTGGACAATTTATCACCAGGGTATCATTTTCTACTCAAGGTTATAAGGTAGTTTTTTTCTTTCACTCTAAGTAAATGAGTAAGGATCCAGCTCTCACCCTGCTCGCTGATGGGGACCAGGCGGTACACCTTATACGGCTCTGAGATGTCCAGCTGGGCTCGCTCCATCACCTCCTTGAACTCTGGGCTTTTGTTGAGAGCACAGCGCAGCCGGGTTTTCCACGCGGCGGGGTTGTTCTCTCCCTTTGACAGCTTCCCTTTGAACTCAGCCCAGGCCTATGGATGGATGGATGGATGGAAAGTGTAGTTAGTTGAGCAGTCAAAGTTTAGCTTAATTAAGAGCTAATTACTAGATAAATAATAAAAACCAGACAAAGGGAAACATCAAAGCAGGCAGCCTGCAGTGGTTTTAAACGTTCCTCTCAGATCTGAACAGATTCTAAAGTGCCGCAGGGCAACATTGGTATTAAATCAGAAATATATCATTTAACTCTAGTGTATACCATGGCTCTGTGAAACCCTCATTCCAGCTGTTTTCCTAACTGTTAGAAAGCTTCCCTGACCTTGAACAGAGCGGCGTCCTCGTCCTGACGGAAGTCGTGTTTCCCTGCGTGCTTCCAGGGAATGCGGAACATGGTTTTAGCATCGTCGTCCCACATTACGCCCGGATATTTCCCGCTGCTGACCTGAGGGAGAAGACAAAAGAGGAAAATTAGTTTCCAGTAGAGGAAACTTACTCAGCAAATGCCTGGTGTCTCTTCTGCTCAGAATAATACAACTAAAGCTAGGCTTGTCCCGATCCGATCCACGTATCGGATCGGACGCCGATATTGGCAAAAAAATGCGTATCGGCAAAGCATGTAAAAATGCCGATCCAGACTGCCGATCCAGTTAAAAAAAAAAATCCGGTCCGTATTTTCCAGTTTCGCCGATTGAAACGATCCATTCCACTATTTTGCACCAGTGTTCCCCT